GCGCTACTACGATCACTAATAATCGATCTATAAGATTTCACTGTTCGGGGAAAAAGTGTATTCTTTCCAGTTTTCGTTCCATGCAATTACTTGTCGTGAATGATTTCATAATCGTGTTACTGACAACAAAAGTGTCAAAACTATCCAACGTACGAAATTGCAAAAATAATAGACAATAGGTATAACGAGACTGATAATATAATTGACATAATAATTATTAACATGATATAACTATAGACGTATCTCGATTCATCGCTATAGTATATGTATAATATGGCGATTAATATAATATGTATTATAATAGTTAATGTAATAAAATTATCTTTCAATAATTTAATGTTTAATTCATTAATAAAGCTCTCTATTATTGAAAATTATGATTTCGTAGATATATGAGGATGGCATTAGAGAAAAAATAATGATTAATTAATAGAAATACTGCAAGACTCGCGGAAACAATCTAATTTGAGAGAGCTAGTTTCTCATGAGGGAAATTGATTACTGGGAGAAGAGAAAACTCGTTGCGCGATTGAGCGCGTCGCTTCCGCGATGCTTCACGATTGTTTGACGAGTATACTCGAGGCCTCGTCTAACGGAAACCAAATGATGGGTGATGAAGTGTACAATGATGGGCGCATTTACAAGAAGTGCGAATAAAATAAACGCAAATACAATTTTTGCGTTCATCAAAAAATAAAAAAAGTTGTATTTCGTAACAGCAGAACTGTTAATCAGAGCCGTGTAATCAGACATTCATAATAAGACAAATAAACGGAATACATACTTATGAAGTAAAAATTCAGTAAAATGCTTACGAAGTAAAAATTTATATAACACGAGAGAGAAATAAGATTAGGAAATATTTAATGAGGAAATTACCAGCTGAGAGTAAAGCCTAATTAATTATTTAAGTAATAATTTATTTTTATAATTGTTTTATGTAAATAAAACAGGGATTATTTATTTATTGTATTGCTAAGAAATAAAATTTTTCTCGAGGATATTAACCTCGAAACTTACACATTATCATCGATTAATCGAGATTGTAAATACACTACTAACTATGACTAGTCGCGGTGATCGTTATAAATTTGTAAACATAACGTTAGCTCGCTCGTCGATCTGCATGCACAACCGCAATCACATACAAGGAACGCAACTCGAATTACGTAATTCCCCCGTTTGCGGTTCTCCTTGAACGCGCGGCTCCTGGTACCGCCGAGCGTTTCTTTGCGTTTCGTTTTCTGCGTTTAATATACTCACGGACGATCGGAGCGTGCCTCTTCGAAAGTTCGTTCTTTACAGCGGGCTCACTTTAACGCCGGAATTAATCGTCGTTGTCTACATACCGGCACGTTGCTGCTTCTTTCCGCTTGCGGCGAGAGATCGCATCGTGGTGCGGGGGATTTATGATGCGTGGAAAAAAATCGCGCTTTTTATGCGTCACGCGTTTCTTGTCAGCCGTCAGTCAGCTGGAGTGCTCGTCAGTGAAAGTGTACTCTAGGATGCGATTATGGTTTAGGGAGAAAATGTAACCGTACATCAAGATAAAATCGAAAGATTCAAAGCAAGAGTTGCTCAAGTCTCATGTATCTAAGACGTTTAAATTCTTTCATCGTTTATTTATTAATATCTAGAAATCTGACACGAAACATCATTTTTTAAATATATTACTTTCTTAATAGTTTTCAAGTTAATATGATTCATGCAGTAGAGCTGTTCTCTCGGTAAATAAACAAAATAGATTTAATTAATGTACGCACACACTTTTATAAAGAATTATATATATATATATACATACAATTCTTTTGAAAGATACGAAATGGTTATTGAATGTATTCTATATATCTTTGCTTCTCAGTATGTTCCCGATTCGTCGATACTGTTGCTGTCACGTATACGATTGTAACACGCTTTGTCTGAATATGGCCTTGGAATTAAACCTTGGAGCTCGCCTGATATTTCCGCCATCTTGGTTCAAGTAAAAGCGGATAAAATAAAACATAAATTATAGAGTTTTACTGGAAATTTCGCTTTTCCCTCTTTTGTATAACAATAAAGCACTTTACTAAGCCGGTTTAAGATTTGAGTTAAATTTTGACAAAAATTCAGTTTGCACATATAAAAAATATATTTTGTGTCGGAGAGGGGGGGGGTTTAAATTTCATGTCGGCGTCGTAGCATAGAGTCAAGTATAGAGAACATCTTTACGCACGCGGCTGTGGCATTGAAATCTCCGAATACTCCGACAATATCTTATAATAATATCGCGTCATTTATCTCTGCTTTAATAAATTATAAAAAATTAGAATAAATAAAATATTTAAACGCTAAGAAAGTAGATAAGTTAACTGTATAACTCTTGTGAAACTTTAGATTTTTAATCGAAAGAAAAAATGTCACCGATTTCCTGGTTTAAGTGCCCAAGCATTATATTCGCTTTACGTAAGGCGCTCGTTCTCAATTTCTTCGAGACGAGCGAGCTAACGCGGTATCGTCGCGTGCAATGTAATAAAGTCAGACACAATGATAATGCAACGCACGATTGGCGTTTCCCATCGGAACTTTGCTATTTTGACCATAATAAGCGTCCAACCACTGTGCACACCGTTGCCCAAACAATCAACAAGTATTTCGAGACGTGACACTTTCTCAGAAAATTCGCGCGCGGTTATAGAAATATTTTTATTACGTCTAGCAATTTGTCGACAATTGTAATTCGCTGTCAATTCAAGCGCGCGCTTGCAAGACGCTCACGCGCCTTTCTGTTTTTCTCTTTCTCTTTTTTCTTAACGAAGAACAAGGTTGTAAATAACTATACGCTTTCTAAATTTGCGATATTTTATGCCAGTTCATTCATTAGCATTCGAGCATTCGTGATTTTCACTGGGTGACGGTAAGACACTCGTGTTAAGGCACAGTTTTGTTAGACGTGTCCATTAACAAATGTATAAAATTTGGTAATTATTTGTTTCCTGTTGCTACATAAAGTTTTTGTATAAAAAAACCGAAAAAAACAATCAGAAAAACAGAAGGCATAATGTTACAAACAAGAAGCAATTGCTTGGTAATTTTCCAAGAAATTACATTTCATGCTAACGACTTTAAAAAAACAGGAAAATCCAATGATTTGCTAGGAAATTAGCTTCCTATGTTCAATTGTATCGTACTCAGAAATTCCGCAAGATCACGACACTTCTTTTACTTGCCGATATATTGACAGTGAAAAGTATTAAAATAAATGTGTTCATTCTAAACGTGATATTGATAAAAAAAATTATGCAATTTGCTTGATGATTTACATCTCACGTAATTTTTATTTACAAGACATTTTTATGATACTTTTGTAATTATTTCCTCAAAAAGATTTTACGTTGCAATTACTATATATTTGCACGTATTTCGTTATTTTTTATCATGTTGCAGGCTAACAATTCCTATAGTGATTTCTGGATTAAAATAATATTTTTTCAGAGACGGGCATTATATTTCTTCGTTAACAGATAAAATTTCTTGACGAATTTTTGCTGCCATACTTGACTAGAGTTCCAACTATATGCCCACAGAGTTACAAATTGTATTTTATGGAACAATTAAAAGAATCAATGACAAATCATAATGGTATTATGATCGTCGTTATGGTAATATTAAGGCAAGTATCACAAAAATCAATAATAAACTATATGCTAGATCAGACACGATCTTTTTCGAGCATCGTGAAAAACGAATCCACTTGTTTTGCTTCTTATTAATAGTCCAATTTATATAATGACAACTTCATTTACATTCTTCGAATTTCAATATAATTATTTTAGATATGCAACTGATCGATGAATTTTACCTTAACTGTCAGAACAGTTCGACATTTTATAAATTAAAAATATATTTTTACACGAAATAACGGCTTGCTATGCAATTTTAAATAAAAATCAGCTTCAAATTACACATGTAGATTGTATGACTAAATGACTAAAAAGATATTCAAAAGGCAGATTCTCGTCTATATTTATGATTTATTTGTACACATCATATACTGCATTAGTATTCTTTGGCTGCTTGCTGAAGCAAATTTGCGTTTTTACTGAGCGCGAAGACGAATGCTAATTATATTAGCAGCATCGCACTAACGTTTTCCTTTTTTCACTTTCAATCGTAAAGAGTTAAATTGCGGGTCTGTCCGACGCAATTTGTCGATCTGCACAACTCTGTCGATTGATTCCTTTTGCGATTCGTCGAACGCTGCCACGACGTGAAAATTTAGAAATCTCCGTGGAAACCACCAGCGTGAATATAACAAGCTGAAAGCTGCGGCGTCGACTCCGCTGTTTTTTACGCTACAAACGATGGAATTTAATTCGTTTAACAATTAAATGAGAAATCTAACGCGGTCGATACAGGCACAGTCACTTTCCCTGCTACGAAAAATTAGCAGGACCGTCAACGCGATTTCTCCATAACGACTACAGTAAGGACAGTCGTTATCCGATAATCGTGCGTTTATATGCGGCTGCGTTTTTTAAAGGCAGCGGATAGCGGTACTGAAAACATTATAGCAAATCTTGCTTTATTATTACTATTACTCTTTTTTTTTTCATTATTCTACTCGTTTGGTGGACTTACCTTAAACTCCTTGCAATAGTAATGCTGCGATCACCAATTAAATTAACAACATTAACAAGATACGTACTGATCTTTATTACTTGTAAGATTCGAACATTTCGAAAAAAGCCCTATTCCTATATACACTGCCAGTACTGAAAATCTATAGTTCATGTTACGTATTATATTATAGATTTTCAGTATTGGCAACATATATCGGAACACGGCTAAAAAGTGAACGTTGGATATAAGATAGTATATTTTATTGCAAGATACAAATTATATGTAAACGTATGTCCGGCATTTATTGTTCGTTTTGTTTTCTTGCGAATGATGTAGGTATATATTATGATAGAATATGGTTTTGCATTTTATTCTATCATATTTTTTTATAATCTTACCTGTACTAGAGCTTCTGGCTGCAAACGCTTGAGAAATTCACCTTGCGGCTGATACGATGCATAGGCCTGTTGCTGTTGAAGTTTCAACTCAGCCTGCATTGCTGCGATCGATTCCGGCGTGCAGGAAGCTCTAGCCTGGACCCAGGATGCCGCCAGGATAAAGCTACCAAGCACGACAGACATCGTGATCAGAGTAATAGCAGCAATCCTTGCGATCTGCACAGCCGTGCTTTTCATTGGCGGTCTCATGTATGCCTGTAAAAAAGATTTCATTTGTTATAATATTTGAACGAAGAAGGAAAGAGAGTTAAATTTTTTTTCTTGTCGTTAGAGCATCAACAACGAATCGGGTTTCATAGGAGTCTTCTCTCTTTTAATATTAAACAGAGTTTTATTAAAAACAACAATGGCGAAGAGAACGTACATCAAAGGAGAGCGTGAAACGACAAAAGACCTCGACTCGGTTGGTTAACCAGCGTGAAGTCCCATTATATGTGTTGAGAAGAGTAGTATACCGGCACCTCTGTGACAGGTGTGATATAGATACACACATACATAGGTACATATGGGCATTTGCACATTTATGTGCTTTACATGAACGCGAACGCGAGTAAATTATTGTGCTTTACTATGGATTCCCGCGCTAGTTACATTACACTAATAAACGGGAGAAGGAAGGTAATTATGTAAAATCTCATACGTATGTTAATGCATCTTGTTGATTCACCGGAATTTTTGTTGAATCTCATGGAAACGCAAAGTCAAGTTTTCCTTGGCGAGTGAATGAGTTCTCTTCAAGAGCGTCTCTCTTATTTTATATCGATCATATATATTTATTCTCCTTGACTCACATGATTTTTCATTGAGAATATATCAGTCAATGTCATATAATCTAGAAAATCCCTTTAATTTACCTTTATCAGTCGTACAAAAAACATGTATAAAAAAGTGAGATCAAACATTTTTCTCCAATAAATAATATTTAAAGTACCTATGTAATGTGTGCGTGTGTGTATGTGTCTAGCCATCAAATGACGTCCGTGTATTGCAGTCAAGTAAATTAACAATAGCTGAAAATAAACTACCGCGGCGTCATTTAACTTCTTCAAGAGTCCCGGGAATAAGTGCGATAAAATACATCTGACGCGTGCTAACTGTACCTTGACATTATTATAGTATGACTCGAACCCGTTTTGACGCCCGACGCTTTTGTAGATCATAAACACTTGCCACTATTTTACGCGGACTCGTAGATCATGTTTGACTGCCATGTTATGTAATTATGCTACATCGCCTATTCAGAACTTATATCGAAATGGATATTGCGCAAGTTTATTTCAGGATTAAAGACATATTTTTAGCTCTATGCGTTTTTGTCCAATATTATTCTATGTCAAATATTATATTTTTATGTTGAGATTAAATTATGTCAAGCTTTGATTTTTGGACTTTGATTTTCATAAGTTTTTCTCTATAAGAAGATGAGACTTGCATCACGGACTGTACTTGTACATACAATTCGTAATGACCTCGATGTGGATGGACGACTCGGGTGAGAGGCTTCCAAGAGATAGTAGGCCATCCGAGGCTGGCTTTATTGCCGCGCGATCCTCCTAACAAAAGTAAACAGGTACTGTTGCTAGGCGCTTGAGACGAAAAAAATTATTATTTGTCCTTTGAGACAAATTTCTTGGTCTGTCCATTACTTGTTAGTCATTGACATTTACCCGATCCATAGAGAACGTTCCAAAATAATTTGATCGTTTTGGGGAATTGGTTCAAGAAGAATCATTAATTGCAAGTGAAGCAATCTAAGTTAATTTCGTTAAGAAGTTTAGTCGTGTTTATATAGTGATTTAAACAAATTGAATTTACAGCGTTGTGACAATGACACGGCACACAACTTATGTATTTATTTAGTAACGAAAAAGAGAAAATAGAAAAGTAGTCATGACACTTTGGAAAATTGTGAAACATGTTTAAAGGTGACAGTTATTTCTAATAAACCACGATATATGATTTGAAACATTGATATCGCGCTTTTTGTACTTTCTCTCTAATATGTACTAGTGTAGGATGGATATTGTAAGCTTGGAATTAACAAATGAAAGCAACGTTTCCAACCATTATTAACCTGTATTAACCTCCTTAAACTGTTGAATGCTTGTGGACGTTTCTTTTGTTTCACATTCAATGAACGTGAAGATGCAATACAAAAAAAGCAAAGAAACTTTGTTCCATTTTGATATCTGTAAGATATTTCTCTAGGGTATATTATCAATAAATTTCTAGTATATATTTAAATATTATACATTTTAATCTTCAATTTCTTTGCAAAATTTTTCTTCTTTTTTCAATAATTTTTTTTTGTTATTAGTATGTATTTATTTCTTAAAAAAAATATTAACTTTATTGTTTTAAAGAAAATTTTTTACAAATTTGTAAATTAACAAGAAATTTTCTTATTCGCACATGTCGCTTTTTATTATAAAATTTTATACGCATTATTAATAAATAAACAAATTGACAAAGTCTCACTGGAATAATTAAGAATTACGAAAAAATGTCCGATTTGAATATCATATTTGTTTTCATAAGCGTCAGAGAATTTGTTTTGTTTTACGTAACTGTGAGTAATCGTGTTTGTTCATTGTACATACGCGTGCGAAAAAATAAATACCATAATAATATGCAATAAAAGCAAAAATGCGAAAATTGTCAGGGACAAGCGTATTTAACCAAAACATACAATACATTAAAAATTTTTTATGTAATTTATATAAGATATACGGTCTATATACATTGTAAGTGTTATTTACAAAGACTAATATATGACGGTATAAAATAATATGACAGTTTTGAAACATAAGTTTTAAGTACATAATGAAAAAACAAACTTTATGTGAATGATTTGTCTCTTAGTATGCGATATTGTTCAATGAAAAATGTAATCATTCTCTCTCTTTCTCTTTACTTCATATGCCGGCGATACGCGTGATGGAGTAATCATTGTTGCTGACGACATAGGCGGAAATGGCCTTCTGTTTTATAGAGGAGAGGTTTGAACCCATAAAAAATAAGGTAATACAATTTCCTTATGTATTGCATTAGTGCATATTATATTAATTGACATTACACATGTAACTATACACCAATGTTGTTATGCTGGCATTAATATTCCACGCCCAATGCGCGCGCGTTGAAGTCTCCTGAAAGCTCGTCGCGTAACACACAAGTCTCACAAATGGTTGATTGCTCAATAAAAACATGAAGCGTGGGATGTTTTAAAGGTGACTTTTACTATTTTGAAAATACAGCCAAAAAATACTTATTTAAAAAGATATTTATATACATTACATAAAAACGTTATAAGAAATTAATTTCCTTCTTATAACACAAATTCATTACAATGTCTTTATATCGTATTTATTTAAATTAGATGTTAAAAAATTTTGCATATAATATGTTATACACCGTAAAAAGAAATGTGTTTTATTCTTATCCCTATTGTTTAAACACTTAAAGATGTTTCAGTTTCAAACTTCTTCAATAGACAAGACACTATGCGTTTTAAATCCAAACACGTAATGTTTTGTCTATTGAAAAGTTTAAAACTGAAATATCTTTAAGTGTTTAAAAAATAGAGACAAGAATAAAATATTTTAATATCTTAAAATTAAACACTTCTTTTTTCAGTGTAATGCCACTAATATAAATTGTTTCTTGAAATTAAAAAATATTTTCTTTGAGCTTAAATTCAGTGTTCAGGGCCCTCACGAATTTGTAAATATCGCACAAAGTACGCACATCATCGAATTTCGAAAACTTCATTTCGTTGCTTAATTTTTTGCTTAATGTTTACTTATTCTCCTTTTACGTATATTTGATATCTTGTAAACGATCGATTTTACTTCAACATGAATACGATTCTTTCGAACGAATAGGGTGCTTCTCTCTAGAGCAAATTGTCCATATTCTTGATTTCTTAATATTTCTTACTCTCCGAGTATGACGTTGTTCTCCTATATATACCGATTATTGCGAAGAATATTACTAAGGCCTCGGTGGTCTAATGGCTTAGGACGCTCGTACGGAATACAAGAGATCCGGGTTCGACTCCCGGCCGAGGTAATATTTTTCGCAATAAGTTTAATTACAGTTTTTCAGCATGTTAATATCTTTGAAATATGATGCCTGACTGAGCATCGAAATTATTAGAATTTAATTACTATAGTGGTTTAATTGTGTTTAGTCTGGAAATATTTCGGTGCACAGTTCGTTAGATTACAATTGTGGTATATATGTCAAGTACATGTATATCATATTTAGTGATTCAAGAATTATTTAAAGCATTTTAAGATCTATAGCTTCGACCGTATAGGGCTCTTATTTATCGGTTGTGTCTCTCACATACGCGGTCTGAAAAATGATATTATTTCTTACTCTCATAATTTTATAATACTACCTTTCTAAATAAAAGACCTATTTTTTTATAGAAAAAAATGTTTTATAATAATAATTTTTATCAAATATGCGCATTTGTAATAATATAATGAGAGGAAATCAAATATTCTCAGAAACGTGTGCCGCATTTACAGTTTCTTTTTTAGATGACGCGTTCTCTTAAACTCTTTCGCTAACCAATTAAGCGTCCATCTTTAATAATGACACGATCACGACTTCCACAGCGGAAATGTACGCATCTCGGAGGATACTTTTCACTGTAAATATGCATTAAGAGTCACACACTTTTGCTCGTTGTAATTACTGTAATTAAATCTTTGCTATTTTTCTTGTTGAGTGCTATGAACGTGCCACGAACTTCTTTATTGTATGGTGCGATCCTCAATATTCTTAAAGAAAAATAAACTTCTCGATAAATGTAAACAAGTATATGTAATAATATATGTTTCACAGAAATAGAAAATAATAGAGAACAATACATAAAATTATTGTTTGTATAATTGAGTAAAAATATTTTACTGAAATGTATTCACACACACACACACACACACACACACACACACACACACATTTATTTCAAAAGTGCTAATATATATTCAATATCTCAAACTGTTTTTTTTTTATTATTTTTTATTAATTATTATCCGTAATCTGTTTTATGAAAAGTGATTAACATAGATCGTTAAAAAAATACTTTACAGAAAAAAGACTATCTATTAATAACACGTGTTTTCCATAGCAATAATAACGATAAGGTTACAAGCCATTTGTTATGTTTTACGCTGCATTAAGTTGCTTCTTTTATTCTGAGATTTTGCATGAGTCATTAGCACATTTTCTAGGAAAATTGCTTTATTACCTGAACATTCTTTCTTTTATCCCGACTTTCGTCCTTCAAAAATCTTTCCATATGTCTTTTTATACAATATTGCCGGTCGATTAAACCTTGCATGTCGTCTTTACACACCGGACAAGCCGGATAAACTTGTATGTATATATTTCTATGACAATTTTCCGACACTGACCTTATTTGCGAATAATCAAATTTTATTCGTGTCGATTTGAAGTGTTCTGTGTCTCAAAAGACTCCGCGAATGCGTTATGCAACGTCAACGATATCAATCAACGAAACGCTATATTTGCATTCCAATTGCTTGTATTCAAGCCATTGACTCGTGAAATAGCAGCCGAATTATACGTGTCACGTAATATTATGATATGTTATAGTGTTATTTCGATCTTAATGGAGCGAAATGTCTACTCGTATATTTCTAGAAAAATTATATTATATGTACACAATTGTGATAATAGCGAATATCTTATAATATTCTGTATCAATATTGCTTCTTGTGACATTCGTGCTTATCGCTCTGCATATCATAAATTTGCATAAGAATGTACAACTGCAAAAATATACGTATGAACTTTCAAAACATTTTTATCTTATATAACCTATTTTTTTCGCTAGACTAAAACTTTTCATGTCAAATTTACTGAAACCATTCCCTCCCCCCCTTTGCGTATTAAAAAATTAATTATACTCGCGAGAATGAAACCAATTAATTGTCATTATTATCAATAACGATAGGGATGTAATTATGCAAACGCGAGTAAAATTGTAGATCATCCGGCAAACAAAGAATATCATGAGAAATCTGCGAACAATTTCTTTGTTGTAACTTTCTCATTATAGTGGTTGATGCTCAATTACGATTGAATGCCATTTTTCAAATTGTGATTACTTCTATACTCCACTCGCTATTATGTGCTATTTCTCTATTCAGAAATAATCGCACGTGTATACGAAATTATCCGACGTTTTAATCATTGTAATTGTTTGATGAATGGCTTCATAAAGTCATACAGACTATCATGTTTTATTTTCAGCATTTTCTCATACATAAAGGAGTCATTTTTTGTAGTTAAAAATTATTAATTATATTATAAAATTGCAGTTAAAAAATTATTTAGTTAAAAAGCGAAAAGGAATTAAAAGTCATATTACAATTGTATTTAAATAAGTTGAAAATTATATCTTTTATATTTATAAAAACTTTTTAAAAAATTGAGTATTTTTTTTTTTTAAAGAAAGCTATTTTATAAATAACAAAAATTATTTTGAATATATATACTTTTTTATATTTATGTATATATATATTTTTTTTAATACGACAGTAATATTTTATGGGAGCAGTAAAATTTGCGTTAGAGTAAAAATATAATCCTTATCTTTTTTTGCTTCAACATATAGTACATATATATATATATATATATAGCATTGGGTTTGCGAGTTTTCATATACATTATTTAAATTTTATTTATCGACATACAGAAATGCAAAAATTGCAAAATGGTAGACGACTTTTCGATTCAGTTTTTTATTAGAAATAGCACTGTATGATTAGTGTGCGTTATTTCAGATACACCCTGTATATCTAATAAAATATAGAACAGTATATAAGACGTGGATCCTTTTAAATTAATTAATTTCAAAGTTTGCTTAAGAACTAGTACATTTTAGTGTGAAAGGAAGAAACACACATATGTGGAAGAAGCTTTCCAACAAACCACCATATTGTTCGACGGAACTTATGTTAAATATAATAAAATTGTATTTTTTTTTGTTACATTTAAACACGTTGGCAAATTTTTACTCTTTAATATGCAATGATGCGTGTTAATTTACAGTTAAACAAATACAATATACAGAAATAGCTTTTATGTACGTGTAATATCGTCATGAGAAATATAGTGTTCTGGGACTTAACGGGGATCACCAATTTTAATCTCACATAAATTTGTTAATAAAGAAAATATTAAATTAAATCAATATAATGTTCGCATCTCATAGGCAGTTAAAACAAAAAACTTTTTGACAGCTTCAAAAATGTAAATAGATGGCAAAAATTTTATTATTCTTATTATAATAAGTTGTTCAATGGATTTTATTTTGACAGATGTGTAACTCGAAAATTAATTGCAGAGATATCGACGTTGAAAATCAAAAGTTTTTTTTACAACAAATGAGAATTCCCCCCAACTTCTTCTGTAAAAAAATTTAGTTCCAATTTGATCGAAGAGCGAATAACGACAGATGATTCGCTAAGTCTGGGACATCTTTGGATAGCTTCTAATCCATATGTTGAAGCTTACCGGTGGTGGTTCGGTGGTAGAATAGACCTCACTTGGCGCATAGTGACTGTGGGTCTGCGGCATCTTCTCCGAGACGACGGCAACAGTTGCCAGGGAATCCGGCTGATCTTTCTCCATTGTCTTCCCGATTCGGCTTAATCCGCGTAGCACAAAATACACGGTCAAACGACCCGGGACGTCAGTATCTTCCTCTTCCTAATCCGGCCGACGGATGGACGATTATTTAAAAACTCCCTTTCTCTCTTTTCCTTTCTTGCTCCGGTACCACACGGTCTCAGTGGCTCGACTGGTCGACGAGCAGTGAGCGTCGGGGAAGCGCCGGCACCGCTAGCTTAGAGATGCCCCCACCTAAGCCGGCGTGCACTACCTTCGGCAAACGTTACCTTCTGGTACCAAGACGTACCCTCCGCACCGTCGACGGTGGTGTTCTCGTTGCTCGAACTTTCTAAACACCGTATGTGCGCGAGAAACACGCGTGAGTGAACGTGAGCGGTTCGCCGCTATAATGTATACGAACGTATACATGTGCAACACAACACATCGCTTTGCTTCCCACATGTTTACCGCACCATGCTCGACAGCAATTTTCACATTTTTTCATCGCGCTCTTCTTCGATTTGAGATAAAAATCGTGGAACGACTAATGATAATTGAGCGGAGACGGAAAAACATTTTTATACTAGCATGCACAGCTAACTTTTTGTTTAAATTTTACATTTTCTTTCGAATATATTTAATGTCAATATCTGTCAATATTTTATGTCAATATCTGATTTCAATGCCATATAAATTTTTAAGACCAATTGAGTACGAGCGTTTAATTGCAATGATTCGCTCGCAAAAAATCTTGCGGTGAGCTTTTTCCATGATGAGCTTCGCAACAATTGCAGAGTACAGAAGTGACGTTATCGGTCCCTCGGCAATTCGTGGTGTGTGCAGGAAGAGAAGTTCATATTACAACGATAGTACACGACGGATCGTGCGTCTACGTAGCGGGAGAAACGACACCGAGAAAGCACCGAAACTCCTTCGTTCACGACGATAACGATGCTTAATTGTCGTGAGAGCATCGTTAGTAGTATTAATACGAAATAACAAAAATTCATTTCTTGTAAAAAGATGTATGTATATATATATATATATATATATATACACTATAGACTATAGAGTGTACGTAATAATTGCTTGCTACATATAGAGCTGCAGTCTAAAATTCGCGTTCGTGATAGGTTTGTCAACTAAATTTTGCAGTAGATATTTTTAAAGAAGTAGCTATAAATATTTAATTAATAGCAAAACATTATGAAGTTGTAAATATTTTCAAACGTGTATATTGCAATAAATCTGCAATATCATTAAAGGATGACGTTTAAATATTCCCATATGTCTTTTGATTGCACGAACAGATCGATTTTCATGGATAAATTTTCCTCGATTTACCTCGCAAGCGCAAGTGTTATTGGACAAAAGACGTACCTTTATAAGTAGATTGGTAAATATATGTACGTACACGAGCAGTGTGACGAACGGATCGCGGAGAAAGTAGGAAATGTACTCCTCTGACAGTAAACGTGAGGCCGCGTAGCAAATCGTCGTCTGCTTGCATATGGTAACTTGCGAGAAATAACGAAGAAAAGAACGTTTCTACACGTCTGCCACGTTTCTGCTGATTACAGATATAAGAGCTGTCTCTAAAAAGTGTGATTGTTAAAGGATCGAAGGAGATCCGAAGATTAAGAATGAATTTAAATCCACTCTAACCTTACGATCTTTCTCTGCCAAACTTGTTCGATTCGACTTCAGCAACGCGTGTTCATAATTTCAGGACTCGCACAGGAACGCTTCGAAACCCACGCTCTACTCGGTTAATTATCCGTTAGAGAGAATGTGTAATTAAACGTATAAAAAAAAGGATTTAATTATAAACTCACCGCACGTTCTCGCGATTATGCACATGCAATGTATCACAATAATCGTAGGATGGCATTTTGGCCGGATCAACGTGGATTGAAAAATTATCTTTTGATTTGTATGCTATTAGAAAAAAGAAAATTTGCCTTGTAACAATTCATAGTTAGATAAATGTTGTATCAAATAAACTTGCATTTCCTATATGGGAAAAATCTGTTTCAATAATTTAAACGTTTCGATTCGCTATATCGGATACACTTTCATTTCGTCGTCTCCTTTCGTGGTCGCCCACAACGACGCGAAACGAACGTCTCCTCGATATTTCTTGCGCTTAGCTATCATCATGACGGAAAATAGGCGTTCCCACGTAGTGATCGTCTTCTTACTAATAAAACGAAAGATAATACAGCAAGAAGACACATCTCGGATTATTTCTCCCTCAAGAGAGGCGCCGCTGAAAAATATATTTTCTCTATACGCGGGTGGAGAGTTGCATGTTAGTATATAAAACATAATCATGCTCGCTTAGAATCTTTTGATCCTCTGTGTATAACGTATCGTAAATAGATGGCCGCGTCACCATTTACGGATATTCGCTTTCTCCATCAGTAATGTAGACGCCGCTCCATTTCTGTTGCGCTTCCCGCGTTTAAAGATTTACAAAATATAAATCACTCAAAATATATTTTCAGAAACCAATCGTCAAAATTACAAATCATAGTTGTTTGAATAAATTAATTCTTCGTATCATCGAAATTTAATTTAAAAATAAATTGTCAAAAAAATTGAAACTCATTGTTATTTTACAAACGGCAAAAAATTAGATATGCAAAACAAATAATATACTTCTTTGCACAAAATAAAATTAAAAAGAGTATACATATATTCTAAGCTTATTAATTAAATACATAAATTAATCAAATGTATTGGCATAAATTAAATGTATGTGTATACGTAAGTTTTTACATCAACTTGCAGCTTCTTAATTTATTTTGCGTGGGTATATGTATACTATATCATGTGTGAATATAATAAAATATATTATTTTGGGAGAAAATTAATGAAATCGGCACTAAGATGTATGATGTACTGGTTAGTGCTACGTTCCTGGATGGAGAAAACTGCTACTATCTATTTCTCACGCAATATCTAGACGATGGATGATCTATATACATTGTAACGACTATGCTCGATGCTTATCCATAAATCTTAATCTTCAATCAGATCATAGAACGAAATTCTGTAATATAAATTGCAATTTTAATAGTTTGAGAGACAAAATATTCGTGAATTGCAAATATGTTTGCAATGAATATTACAAATCATCTTTTATTTAATAACATTAATTACAGTTCTAACCAAAAGAATGATATATGTATATATATATATATAAAATTGATGTATTATTTCTAAAACATTCTGTCACATATTTGAAGATATTTTACTTAATATATTATTATCGTAATTATATTATTTATAAATATATAATTGTTACATATTTATAAATATAACTTACAAATATATGGTAAAAAAAAATTGTTAGAGAACGATAGAAAAATCATATCGTTTTGAATGTGGAATCTGTGGTTCGTGAATTCACTAATTTGAATCAGATCTTATAGGAATCTTATAGAATCCGATAAAATACGATAGGATTCATATCTGATCAATCGTAATGCTCGCGAGGTCAACGATAGAAAATGATATAAACTTATAGAAAACGATACAAATTGATAGAAATCCTATCGTTTTCTCAATCGTTCTCTATTAACTTTTTTTTACCAGGGATATAACAGATTCAAAATAAAAATAACTATTATTTATTAAAATGTATTCATTGTTTCATAAATCATCGCTTTATTATAGCCGCACAATGCAACTTTTTCTCCCGAAGGGTGCCAATATGCGTCTATAATCGACATATTTTTAGACAATGGTACAGAATTTGCGCCTTTTCGAGTCCATTCGTACACGCGCGTACATTCGGAGAGCACAAATAGTCGAGGATGAACGGGACTCCATTTGATAGCTGAAGATAATAAAATTACCGCATTAATATAATTTCTAATAAGAATTGAACAATTTTTAACAATGTACCTGTAATGGGATTTTCAAGTAACAAATAATCTAGATAATCCGTACAGATGTCCCATATCCACAATGTGGTAGGATAAAGCTCATGTTTCAGAGCCAGGTATTGTCCACATGTGCTAAATTCAAACAATTTAATTTTCGCTATCGAAAAGTTGTCATTATCGTCTTTCTTTCCAATTTCAATGCATATAGGCCGTTCGTGTATTTCACGTACTAAAATTAGAAAAAAAATCAGATATTTAAGATATATCTGTATCTAGAATATAATAAAAAAATTTTTTGTAACATGATTTGAGCGTGATAAACTTCAACTCTCGCCAAGATCATTTACTTACAAACACGTTCCTCGCAGGACGCAAAACGTTTATTAGAAACTTTCTCCGAATCGGCGTATTCTTTGTATACTTTTGTTAAGTAATTACATTCTCTGATTACTGGATCCATGTATAATTTCGATAACGGTTGCCACGTGATGTGATTAAGAAGGACGACCTGAATATAAATTTTAAATAATCGTAAATTTGTCGGCAACAAAAGCAACATGATGTATAACACATCGTGATTAAATTATACCACTTCATTAAACCCTATTACAGCCAACAACTGTCCACTTGGGATCCATTCTATATTTTCAATTCCTTTCAGCTCTTTTCCATAATTACACGTCTCGGATGGCTGTGCCGTTTTCAGCGGGGAAAATGCCGTCACGTGTTTCTCCAACGTATTAGAATAAATAATCAACTTTGGTTCGGCAGGAGAGGAACACCATATACATAATAATTCATCGTTTGGCGACCAGCGAATCCCGTCGATGCCGCGTAAACGATCGCAGATAAGTTTCTGAAATAATTCATAGATTCATTATTTCGCGCCAGTTTAAAATCTAGGGAATTTTACGACTGCCAAACTGGAAACAGTTTTCAATGCTAACTTCATTCTTTTACCAACAGTAGCAAAGTCTTATTTTCGAACAATCGCTAATTGTTGAAAATCCTTTATAACTGTGTCAAGTTATATTTTTCGCACTGAAGAATGCGAGAGACATATAAAAGACGCGCGTGCATGGAGAGAAAAGAGAATGTTCAACTACGGCTACTTACGCGCCGTAAACGTAAACTGTTATTAAGCACATGATGCATCATTAATATTGTTTTTTTTTGGGGGGGGGGGGCTGAATTCCTTTTTTTTCCAGGAGGAAAGAAGAGAAAGAAAGATGAACTGGTGTAAAAGTTCAGCCAAAAAGAACAATCCTATTTATACATCCTTGTCGTTCACAGAATGTTAAAGAAAGATGAAATGATAGCTCTATTCTTGTTGTGCACAGCGCACATATGTAGAAAAAAAAATGGCTGCCACCATCTGACCGCGTGAACGTTCGAAAGATCGTCACAACGATCCACGTTTATCCGCGAC